CAAGCAAGCAAAAAACCCATACACATACATTTAAAATAACAAGAAAAGCCTGAAAATACCTTCCCTATATTATAAAAGGAAAAATGGTAACATCATAGCAGGGGAAATCTGGCAGACACCATTCCTCAGAGTGTGCAATCATCATTCTCACCATGAGAAAAAATGCCACTAGCACCCTCCAAAGGTGCCTGCGTACTGAGAGATAAGGAAAGACTAGCAAATGTGACAGATCAGAGGAGCCACAGAGAGATGACAAAGAAATGCAGTGTGATCCTGGACTACAGCCAGAAGCAGAAGGAGGCCATTAGACAGAATAGTCTGGTTCAGTTGCACTGGTTGGTATTGGTCTCCTCATCTTTCCGATAGTCTAGGTAGGGTTCAGACGATGTTAGTATCAGAACTTATAGAAAGAATAAGAGATCTCTGTTATTCCTGTAACCTAAATAGTTAATATTTCAGAATAAAGTCAAGAACAGAAATGACCCTACAATAGTCCCTCCTTTATCCCCAATCCCACTTCTCCCCACTCCACAAGGGCACATTCTAACTCAGTAGTGCAGGCTGGCCCAACTCACCCTGTAGCCCAGGCTAGCTTTGAACTCAGGTGGCCTTTCCTCTGCCTCTAGACTGCTGTGATTACAGGACAGTGTACCATGCCTATGGGTGTGTGCATCTAGTTAAGTAGATAGAAATACGCACATGCTGAATTAAATGAATTAATGTAATTTAAAATGTGATGAATAAATGAAGTAAACTTTGTGAATGTTATTAGGTAAAATGCAGAAACTAAAGGATTAAAAAAAACAAGATTATTTTATGTATGTGTGTATGTGTATGCCTGTGTGCACATATGTGCACCATGTGTGTGGAAGCTCTCTGGCCAGAGAAGGCATCACACCCATTGGAACTGGAATTACAGACGACTGTGAGCTAACAAGCAAGAGCTGGGAACTGAACCCAGGTCCTCTGCAATAGCAATCAATACTTTTAAACTCTGAGCCATTTTGCCAGCAAAATTAAAGGATTTTATAAAGATGTCAGAACTGTGAGAAGAAAACATCCAGAACCTTCTCCCGCATGCCCCAAAGTAACATTCTGGGGACCCTCTCCCCCATTTATGCATTATTAACTTTACAGGGAGAAACTTTTTTCACATACCCCAAAGTGACATTCTGGGACAACCCCTCCCATTTATCAATTATTAACTGCACAGTGAGAGACACCCTACTCAGAGACAGCACTCCAAACACCAACTGGTCCTCCTGGAGTCACCTCTGAGAATTCCTGGAAGGGCATATCTCACATGGTCAGGATGCAGGACAGTGGCCAGGAAATCGTCAGTGTACCCCACAGTCTATGAAACTTCCAGGGATCAACTTTTGCCAGCATCACAACCAGCAACAGGATTTTACTGGGAAAACCCAAGAACCCACATCTTCCAGGCCATGCCCTTTCCCAAATTCGCTCAGTGGGCTGACTCTACAGCCAGGGCCTGGGAAACACAGCAGGCTTTTTATTTACTTCCCCTGGTCACCTGTCCTACTTTTGGCTAATTCTTTCATTAGCAAATGACATCAGGATGCTGTGATGGAGAGAACTGTGCTGAGAGCTATGACTCCTGGGTCCCATGCCCACATGTAACAAAAGTACAAATGCTACACAATGCTCTCGTCCCAGCTGGAACGCTGTTGAGGGGCTGCCTCTTGGAGTCTCAGCATCTTTGGGAGATTCCGGACCCTAATTTATGGGAAGGTGAAGGTTGGGCATGCATGGAAAGGAAAATGCTTTTCATGGTGGTCTTTTGGCACCATATTGAAGGTTCCCAGTAAACTGTCAAAGACCAGATAGGTGGAAAGATGGCATCTTAAAACCTTTCACAAATATACCTTTGAGATGACATATTTTCATGACATGGCTTCTTGTTCATACATTTGTTTGAAAATTGAGGGCTGGAGAGATGGCTCAGCAATTAAGAGAACTGGCTGCTCTTCCAGAGGACCCAGGTTCAGATCCCAGAACCCACATGGTGGCTCACAGATGAGTGTAACTTCTGTTCCAGGAAATCTGCTGCTCTCATGGAGATATACCTGCAAGCAAAACACCAATGTACATAAAATAAAAATAAATAGTTTTAAAAAAAATTATAAGAAAAATAAAATTGAGCCAGGAGTGGTAGCACATGTCTTTAATCCCAGCACTGGGGAGGCAGAGGCAGGAGGATTTTTGTGAGCTCAAGGCTGGCCTGGTCTTAATAGCTAGTTCCAGAACAGCCAGGGCTACAGAGACCCTGTTTCAAAAGGAAAACTAAAAATGAGAAAATAGAATGTGTCTCCTGCTCTTGTGGCTTTGCATTTCAGACACACCCTTCAGATGGGACTCTCTGAAGACTGTTCCATTGATGCATGGGCTCTCTCTGAAGACTGTCTCATTGACACACAGCTCTCTGAAGATTCATTGACACACAGCTCTCTGAGGACTGCCCCATTGACATACAGCTCTCTGAAGACTGTCCCATTGACACACATCTCTCTGAAGACTGTCCCATTGACACACAGCTCTCTGAGGACTGCCCCATTGACACACAGCTCTCTGAAGACCCCCATTGACACACAGCTCTCTGAAAGCTGTCCCATTGACACAAGGGGAAAGTTGAGAAATTAGAGTTCAGATGGCTGCTACTCATCCTTCAGCTCTTGCACATCTGTAGCCCTGCATGCAAAGGATCCCTTGTATGTTCCCTTCACATAGACATGCTAGGCTCTTACAGGGTATGGTCCTGGGAGCTGCCATGGCAAACAAGCTATGCATCTCAGTGGTACCGCATGACTAAAGCAGAGGCCGCTGTTGAGAAGTCCCATGGGGAAATCGAGGTCCCAGCAAATGCTCTGTGGTGTCCCTGCCCCCCTTTCCAAATGCTACTTTGCACAGAGCATCCACCGTTCTGCAAAGGAAAGGGGTGTTTCCCCTGAGCCACTTCCAGAAGCAGTGTCTGCTTTGGTGTAGCACCATATCCATTTTCCTAAAAATTTTCCAGATCAGCCTGCTGGTGGTGGTGCACGCTTTCTATCCCAGTATTCAGGAGGCAGAGGCAGGCAGATCTCTGTGAGTTTGAGGCCAGCCTGATCTACAGAGTTAGTTCCATCCAGGACAGCCAGGGCTATACAAAGAAACTCTGTCTCAAAAAAAGAAAAGAAAAAGAAAAAGAAAAAAAGAATCAACAAACAAACAAAAACCTCCTTAGATCCGCTGCGTGTCTGAAACAGCCAAGGCAGAGTTTCCTGTGCTGGGATCCCTGGCTCTTTATTTCACAAACCCATAGCACAGAAGTCTGGAAGTGAGAGCCAGTTCAATCCAAGAGGATTTCAAGACACACATCATTAAGGGAAGGTGGCCACAGAGCTCAGGGTCATTCCCAGATAAAGCTCCCAGGATGCACTTGGAGTGTCCTGAAAAGGTGGGGAGGAGGATGTGCCTGAGAGACATGCTCTGACCACACCCTGTCATAGGCAAGAGCCTGGACCAACTGTATCCTGTACATCAGGACCTGAGCACAGTCATGTAGCAGAGGTGCCTGTGCAGCTACTGGACCCACAGAAATTGTCAATAACATTGTGGGTGTGTAAGTATAGGTAGCAAGGAGGACACATGAAGATAGATATTCACTGCAGAACAAGAAAATAAAAATAGGCCAGGGTTCAGAACCCTCCCTCAGCGATGTCTGCCCTGTCTCCTTCTATGCCTTGGCTTTGGGGCTGGCATGTGTTGTGTACCCACCATCTTTAAAGTGCTGTAAGACACTGTTCACTCCTTTCTCTCCCTTTCCACCTGCTTCTGCCCAGATGTGCCTCTCCCTTGGCTCTGCCCAGCACATCTGTATTCCATTCATCACTGAACCAGGGAGAGGACAGGAAGTGCTCCTCACATCCGCTCACCCTGGTGCTTTTTAAAACCTGGCTTGTGGTCACTGAGCCCAGAGCCACAGAGAGGATTTTTAAAAAAAAAAAAAAAAAAAAACTGAAACATATAATTAAAATCTCTGTTGGGTTTTGAGGGCAGTGCTGGGCGGCTCCCCACCCCTTCTTTCCGGAAACACAGATTTTTGGCATCTGAATGTGACAAGCAGCTGGAAGGAGGCTCCCCTAAATATATCACCTTGGGCACATCAGTGCAGCTGGGATGCAGGTTTTATTCTAAAATCTTCGCCTTTGCTACAGGGAGCACAGTCAGCTTCCAGCCCTAGCTCCTCCTCAGTTATCACCCTAGACTGCCATTACCGTCACCTCCAGCAGATCTTGTATGGGGTCCCTTAGACCACATGATTCCCACTGGCACAGCCTTGCTCCCAGACCTGGATGTCACCCAAACCACTGCAACACCCAATGGCCATGGTCTGCACACAACCCCCCTCTGCCAAGAGCATGCTGGCCACTGCCCAAGATGCCTTCAGATATCACCAGGTCCTTTTGCTTTCTGCCTGTCTTCTTCCCTTTGTCCTCTAGCAGATCCTTCATCCCTTAGTTGCCAGCACTGGGTGTCTCTCCATTTCCTAAGGTCCTTCTGTTGATGATCTTGTAATGTGACCTGTGTTCTGCACATCTCTCTCCCAGGACACTGTCAGATCTGAGCTTCCCCGACCCAACCCTCTCATCAAGGACAGGCTCTGGGAGTCCTCTGCCCACTGAAATTCAGCCAATTCTGTCCCTGCAGACAGGGTTTTACCCTGGAACTGTGCTGATTTTCTGCCTTGGGACCTGTGGCCATCTCAGCGTTGGCCTAGGAGCTCTGAGAGGAGGCACCGTGATTCAGAGTGGGTCCAGGGGCTGCTGAGCACTTGCTGAGTTTCCCACTGCACCACCTCCTGGGGCCTGGTGTTCTCCCAGAGCAGACCACAAGCTGTGTGTAGAACAGGAAAGGGCCACACCCAGGCTGCCTGGGGTCCTACTCTGAGCACAAGCCATATTGACTCCCAGAGATGATGTCCTTCGCTCCTTGTCTTCCAGTGGAGCGTGACCGTACCCTGGACTACCAGGAGCCACACTGGAAGGAATTCCTCTTTGACCTAACCCAGATCCCTGCAGGGGAGGCTGTCACAGCTGCAGAGTTTCGGATATACAAAGAGCCCAGCACCCACCCGCTCAACACAACCCTCCATGTCAGCATGTTCGAGGTGGTCCAGGAACACTCCAACAGGTACCTTCCCTCTGCCCAGGTGCCCACCCCATCTCATGGTCTCATGGTCTAGGCTCTGGCAGGGCCTGTCCAGAGGGTGCTTTTCCAAGAAAGGAAAGGGGTGCCTGCTGGGAGAGGCACCTCAGACACGAGAAAGGGGCTTGGCCTGGAACTCCCTGCCCTGCCAGGGACAGTGGAACCCTCAATAGGCCACAGCACTGAGCCCCAGAGACAGTGTCCCCACCAGCACACGGACACAGTAAAATGCCAGGGGTTGGTTATCGGTGAAATGTGGTACCAAAGGAGGCCAGCCCAGAGCCAAGCAGGGAAGAGGCTCTGAAAGTGGTCCCCCAGGCAGGCACAAGATACAGGCAGGCTTGCCGACCTCAGCCTTGGTTAATTGTTCTTTCGTGTCCACAGGGAGTCTGACTTGTTCTTTTTGGATCTTCAGACGCTCCGATCTGGGGACGAGGGCTGGCTGGTGCTGGATATCACTGCAGCCAGTGACCGCTGGTTGCTGAGCCATAACAAGGACCTGGGACTCCGTCTCTATGTGGAAACCGAGGATGGTGAGGCTCCAGGCCTTAGTAGGGAGCTGCCCTGGGGGGTCTTGGGAGGTGGTTCCAGCAGAGGCTGCCAGCCTAGTACAGGGAGCCCTCTCCCTGGCCCATGCTTGGCCCTTCTTGAGGTGGGTAGAGTGGTGAGGTCCTGGATGGGGAAGGCTTCAGCTAGGCTTCCTGTCCTTCGTAATAGCAACTGACCTGAGGGCCAGCTCTGGTACCCTTCGGGGAAGGGAGATTCTCCATGGGCAGTAGCCTCCACTCTGAGAGGTTCTGCACTAGGAAGGAGGGGTGGGGGATCTGCACCCCAACTTCTGAGTGCACAGGCCTGGGCTATACCTGCTCTGCAGTGCTGTAACTCGGTACCTGAGCCTCAGTTTCCTCGTCTGCACAGTTTATAGTCACTACTTCCGCCACAGGGTTTTCGTGGGACATTTCCTTTCTGTGAGGACAGTAAGGGCAGCAGGGCAGGAGACTGGCCTGTCTGGGGTCTAGCAAAGGCTGGAGGGATAGCTTGGAAGGAGAGGGGCAGAGAGATGGCAGGGGTCACTCTGAGTTAGGGAAAACTGACAAGGTACTTGGAAAGTTTAGAACAGTTTACCAGCAGTGGGTGACAGATGTGACTGTGGCTTTAAAAGACCTGGTAACTTCAGCCCCTCAAGGCTGCCTGCTCCCAGGAGAGCTCACCTGGGTACTACAGGGCCACAGCGCTGGCAGCCAGTTGTCAGCAGCATTACCAAGGGTTTCCAGTGTCTGTCCAAGATCTTGAGAGACAGGCCAGGCGACAGGGATGGCCAAGGCTGTCCTCAGGGTGAGACCCATGGCGATCCTGGTCGGTGTCCTCCCTGCTCTATGACGCAGCACAGCGCAGAGGTGGCGTGGGGCAGGCTTGCAGGGTGCACCGGGGCTCTCCCTCTTTGTCCCAGTCCTGGGAGCCCAGTCGTCCGAGGACGATGGCGGCACTGAGGCTTCTGGCATGGGCGCTCCCGCGCGGGGTCTCCATCCACCGCCCACGGCCCGTGCTGCCCCACCGCCTTGCCCTCCGCTTTGCTAGCGACCGCAGCGGACGCGTCCACTTCTACACGGATCCGGTGAAGGCTGTGGAGGGCATCAAGGACGGGGCGACCGTCATGCTCGGGGGCTTTGGGCTCTGTGGCATCCCCGAGAACCTGATCGGCGCGCTGAAGACCAAGGGCGTGAAGGACCTGAAGATCGTCAGCAGCAACGTGGGCGTGGATGACTTCGGCCTGGGCATCTTGCTAGCCTCCAAGCAGGTCAGGCGCGTGGTGTGCTCATACCTGGGGGAGAATCAGCTGTGCGAGCAGCTGTACCTGGCAGGAGAGCTGGACCTGGAGATGACGCCCCAGGGCACCCTGGCCGAGCGCATCCGTGCAGGTGGCGCTGGTGTGCCCGCCTTCTACACGCCTACGGGCTACGGCACGCTGGTGCAGGAAGGGGGCGCCCCGATCCGGTACTCGCCCGAAGGTCACCTGGTCACCCTGAGCCAACCGCGGGAGGTGCGCGAGTTCGGAGGCCGCCACTACCTTCTGGAGCACGCCATCCGCGCAGACTTTGCCCTGATCAAGGGCTGGAAGGCGGACCGCTCAGGCAACGTGATCTTCAGGGGCAGCGCGCGCAACTTCAACGTGCCCATGTGCAAGGCCGCTGACATCTCGGTGGTGGAGGTGGAGGAGATCGTGGATGTGGGCTCTTTCCGCCCGGAGGACATCCACATCCCCAACATCTACGTGAACCGTGTGATCAAGGGGCCGAAGTTCGAGAAGCGCATCGAACGCCTGACCACACGTGACAGTCAGCCAACGTCCATGAGCAAGCAACAGGACACCTCCAGGACGCGCATCATCAAGCGCGCTGCTCTCGAGTTTGAGGACGGCATGTATGCCAATCTGGGCATCGGAATCCCTCTCCTGGCCAGCAACTTCATCAGCCCCAAGATGAAGGTCTACCTACACAGTGAAAACGGGATCCTGGGCTTGGGCCCGTTCCCCTCGAAAAATGAAGTGGATGCCGACATCATCAACGCGGGCAAGCAGACGGTGACCATAGTCCCTGGGGGCTGTTTCTTCGCCAGCGATGACTCTTTTGCCATGATCCGCGGGGGACACATTCAACTGACCATGCTCGGTGCCATGCAGGTTTCTAAATACGGTGACCTGGCCAACTGGATGGTGCCAGGCAAGAAGGTGAAGGGCATGGGCGGGGCCATGGACTTGGTGTCGGGTGACAAGACCAAAGTGGTGGTCACCATGGAGCACTGCACCAAGAAAAAGCAGCCCAAAATCTTGGACAAATGCACCATGCCCCTGACCGGCAAGCGCTGCGTGGATCTCATCATCACCGAAAAGGCCGTGTTTGATGTGGACCCGAGGAAGGGGCTGACTCTGATTGAGCTGTGGGAGGGCTCGTCGGTGGACGAGGTCAAGGCCACCACAGGCTGCGCCTTTAAGGTGTCCCCCAACCTCAAGCCCATGCAGCAGATCAAACCTGATGCTTGAGGAGCCCTGGCCCTTCCCACCAGGGCTGAGTTGTGAAGGAGTTAGTGACCACTGGCTCCTCAGGCTTCCTGCTGCCAGATGGTATCTTCTCAAGAGCCGAGTGATTTTAATTAAAAACCCTAATCTGAGCCTTGTGTCTGATGCTTAAGTAAAGCCCTGCGCTAAAACCATTTAGGACACTGGTCCCAGGCTCCCACTTTCTGTGACCTTCACATACAAGGCTCCAGATCATTCCCTGACAGGCATCAACACCAGTGTTGCTACTCGGAACTGAATCATGAACCTGGAGAAAAGCACCTGGCAGGAAGAAGCCCAGAGTTCACCCAGTGCCACTGTACTGCTGCCATGAAATGCAGACCTGTGGGTCTGTGGCCAGGAGGAACTCTGGCTTCTCTTCCTGGGCCCTGTTTTCTGCTCCTAATTTTGTTTCACTGAATCCTCCCCTACCTGACTTCCTCCTGGAAGCTGCACAGGTGTCCCTAGAAAGGAGGCAGGCCTGTCACCTTTGGGATGAGGGAAGATGGTTGGTGCTGGTACTTCATCCGGGAAACCCACGGTATATTAGCAGTCCCAGCATGTGTCCAAAGAGGCCTGGGCTTAGCACAGGTGGTCTAGAATCTCAGCAATGTCATGGACAGACTCTCATCTAGTACACTACGGTGTCTCTTATTGCCCCTACAATACTGATATTCTGTTCCGGAAGTCCAGCATCCTTTCCTAACCCCTCTGTGGCAGCTTTGGGTCCTGTCATTGTGAGTCTGTAAGCTCACGATGAAAGTGAAATAAGTTATACAGGTGTGTGTGTGTGTGTGTGTGTGTGTGTGTGTGTGTGTGTCCTGAGAAAGTACTCCCCCTGCCATGCTCTTCTGTCCAGAGCTGGGAAGCCTGGTAGCTTCCACCAGATAGGGTACTATGTGATGATGGGGGCAAGGAGCAGAGCTGGGCGGGAAGGTGCACTCCAGTTTGGACAAGGAGCAGCCTCTCTGGGCCTATCAGATACAGAACTGTGAAACAGCAGCATCAATCCCTATGGGCTGCCCCACCTCACTCAGTCTCCCCCTCACGCTGGGCAGGGCAGGAGCTGCTTGGCTCTGCAGCTGCTTGCTCCAGGCCTGGAACAGTTGATGCCATCTCTGGATCTTAGCTTGTGTGCCTGTAAAATGGGAACCTCGGTTTAGCTGCACCCATGGGCTCTGGGTCCAGCTCATCTTGCCCTGACAGCCTCCAGAGGTGCCCAGCACCCTTGCAGGCTAGCTTTGAGGAGTTCAGGCGAGGGACTGCTCTGTGTTCGGAGCCTGGAAGACCAGTTACATGAAAGAAAAACAAATGTGGCTGAGCCTGGAACACTGATGGCCTCCGTGTTCCTCAGAAGCCAGGGCTCTGGGTCTCCACAGTAAGTAGTAGGGTCATGGCCTGTTCTGGGTCCCAGCCTGCCCCTTGTGTCACTAGTAGGTCCTGACACTGTGGCTTTCATTGCCTTCCTGCTCCCAGCTGCTCCATCTGCCCAGTGTGTGGCCCTGCTCCACCCCACCCCATCTTTCCTTCTGTGCCTGAAGTTCTCCCTCTTCACACCACATCTTCACCCTAAGCCCATTCTTCCTGCCTGGCATCACCTGAGTCTGTCCCAGACCGTGCCTGCAGCCCACACCCCTTGTCCCACAGCTCTCAGCCACACTCCTGGGATGGAGGCTCACAGGCCTAGCACATTTGTTAGTGGCAGGTGAAGTCATGAGTCAAAGGTTGCATTTATGAGTCTTCCTTCTGAGTGGCTGGTGGACATCTGGTGTAGAGCCTAGCAGCAGATGTAGGGACCTTTGAGTGGACTGTCCACCACAGACAGACAGTGCCCTTAACTCAGTGTGTAATGAAGAACCTTGTAGTGTGCGAGTGGAACACAGACCTGAGTGTGCATGCGCATATGAGCGTGTTCTGTTCTGTTACGGTTTTGTGTTGGGATTTTACCTAAGACTTTGTGCTTACTAGGCAGGCTGTACTGCTGAGCTGTGGTGTCAGCCCTTTGGGCTCTTTTACATTCTTCTAGTACTGGGGCTAGAACCCAGGATGTTGAGCATACTGAGCAAGAACACCAATATACATTATTGTCTGAGATTTTATATATATACACCTACATGCATGAACATGGGTGTGTCAGTGCTTGTTACATGTCAGCCGAACAGTGGCGCTGTGTTTTGTGATATATAAGGTGAGCATTGGCGGGCTGAGGTGTAAGGAATCTCGCAGGGGCACAAAGGGAAATGGTTGTGACTCCTCTCATGACACCAGAAAGGAACCTGACTGCCTGGTGGGAGGTAACCCCACCCAGAGTGAGCTGTTGCCTGTGGGTGGTTTCCCTGGAGAACATTCTAACAATGGGAAAAATTCACAATGCTAAGAACTGTTACAACTTAATCCAACAGGACAGGAGAAGCCCGGATATCAAAGGAGGGCTCTGGAGCTGTGAAGGGAGGGTTATGGTTACTCTTCCTTCTTCAGAGTTCCTTATCCCCCTGTGGCTACTACAGTTTACCTGTTTTTATTTGGTTTGCTTTGGTTTGTATTTTTAATTTTTAGTTGTTTGTGAGGTTGGTCTCTTTCTTTCTTTTTGAGATAGCCTTGGCCGGTCTGGAACTCACCTAAGTAGACCAGGCTAGCCTCAAATTCATAGAAATCTGCCTGCTTCTGCCTCCTGAGTACTGGAATCAAATGCATGTGCCACCATCCGAACCTTGTTTGTTTTTTTGAAACAGGCTTTTATATGACATGCTTTCACTGACCTCCAACTCAATATGAAGAGTAGAATGACCTTGAATTCCTCATCCTCCTGCTTCCTCTGCCTGAATGCTGGGTTTACAGGTGCCAACACACCAGCTTAATATGCTACTTCTGCAGTTAGAAAGGGCGGAGGCCACTGACGGGACCACCAGCAGAGCTGGAGCAGGTGCTGGAGGCTTTGCTCTCCTGGGTTGACATCTGCAGTCCTGAGAGGATCAAGGACCTCCCTCCCCCCACTTTATGGGTTCCACTCTTCCTGTGGACAAGCTCAGGTCTGTCTCTCTGAAGCCCCTTCCTTTCTTTGAAGCCATCTGCTGGCCTGGTGAACACACACTGGGCACTGGAATGAGCCTGATGCGACCTGAACTCTGGACTTTGTGACTGTTCTGACCTCTGGCCCTGCTCAGCCTGGGGCCTTGACCGTGGGCATCTGAGAGGCAGTGAGTGCCTGGCCCTTGGATACTCAAGCTTGCTGTGCTGGGAGAGTAAGTCCCAGTGATGTCCTTGCAGAGGCTGCTATGACTGCACATTCTAATCCTCAGAAGCTGCAGGATGAAAATGGGACCTGGGTGTAGGATCACCGGACCAAGGGAGTCTGGGTCCTGAGCATCACCAGCAGTGGACTCTGGTCATCTCTGAGTGACTGTGACTTGGGTTGCAGTGAAGACCAACTGAGGAAATTAATGGGCAAAATCTTTGACACCTGCCAAATGTTTCCCATCTGCCAGGTTATCACCAGCAGGAATGCCTGTGACTACTGAGGTCCCTGTCTCTGCCATTGCAGACCTGCTGGCCGAAGGGCTAGGCTTTGTCTCTAGATGAGGAAGCTGAGGCTCGTGGTACCATGCTACCACCCACAAGTCAGTCAATCAGTCAGTCTATTGTTTCTTGTCTCTGTCCCCCAGGGCACAGCATGGATCCTGGCCTGGCTGGTCTGCTCGGACAACAAGCACCACGATCCAGACAACCTTTCATGGTCACCTTCTTCAGAGCCAGCCAGAGTCCTGTGAGGGCCCCTCGGGCAGTGAGGCCACTGAAGAGGAGGCAGCCAAAGAAAACAAATGAGCTTCCACATCCCAACAAACTCCCAGGAATCTTTGGTAAGGGTGGGGTTGAGCCTCATCCGAGACCTCTTTAGAAAGTGATGGCCTGCCAATGGATCTAATTGCTTGCCTAGCAGGGAGGGGGCTGTGCCTGGCAGGGTGGGTGGGCTGCTGTCAAGAGTCTATAGAGGAAAGCAGAAGCCATGTGTGCCCAGATGCCACCTGCTGAACACAGCCACACCCTGTGGTGATGCGGAGTCACTGAGGACTGTTGAGCTGGGTCATGGCATGAGTAGGGAGTAGAACTTGTGATTCCAATGGTTTAGTTTCCTGTTGTCCTTCATTTGTAAATGTGCCTGTCATATCACCCCCACATTGGGAGTACCCATGGCAACTCCACAGAGCAGGACCCCTGAGCAGACTCCATTCCTTTTTGTCCCTACAGATGATGGTCACGGCTCCAGAGGCAGAGATGTTTGCCGTAGGCATGAGCTCTATGTCAGCTTCCGGGACCTCGGCTGGCTGGTAATTTCTGCCTCTCCTCTCTGAATGCCACCTGCACATCCTCGTGTCTCCAGGGTGGAGGTGGGGATACTGTGCCTTTAACTATGCATAAAATCCGTGAAAATGTGGCAACTTGAGCCCTCTGCCCAGTAAACTGTCAACAGGGAAACTGAGGCTGGGTAGGCAGGGACTTTGGGATCTTCCTGCTACAGTTGCTGCAGAAGGCAGCTGTGGAGGAGGCAGCAGAGGATGAGGTGTGGAGGACAGAGCTGGGGTCCAGCCCTGCCTGCTGAGGGTGGCTGAGGGGATGAGGGTTCACAGCCCCAGGTCATCCTGTGCCGGGTGCTGTGATGATGACTATGGAAGGACACTGATGTGACTCTCCTTTTCCCACCCACAGGACTGGGTCATCGCCCCTCAGGGCTACTCAGCCTATTACTGCGAGGGGGAGTGTGCCTTTCCACTGGACTCCTGTATGAATGCCACCAACCATGCCATCTTGCAGTCCTTGGTCAGTAGCACAGTGGCCAGCTGGGAGCCAGGGGGCGGGGCAGGTAGTAGTAAGAACGGCAACAAAGAGGGACTTTCTCTGCAGACTCAGCTACAGAGAAGAATATGGTTCGGGACCCTCAGGAAGAGTCATTCTGGGCGTCTGGGTGCAGACACTTGAGCATACACATTCACTGCACATGTACAAGTAGGAGCCTGTGAACCTGTGTGGAGCCCTTGTGGTCACACTGGGGCACACATACACAGATGGGCACCCCATGGGGGCCTTGTGACCCAGTGCACAAGTGCGCAGTGGACATGGTGGCTTTCACTCCCCTGGGGCACACATATGCTCACCCACCCTGCCTGGCTGGTGGGCCTCCCTGGTGGGCTCTCTGCTCTTCTGGGCCTTGGCTCATTTCTGCTGTATTTCCCTTGTCTGTCCCAGGCTGGATTCAGACTCAGTATGTAACCAAGGATGGCTTTGAACTTCTGCTCCCCGTCTCCAGTCCAAAGTGCTGGGGTTACTAGTATGCAGTATTAGGCCTAGTGTATGTCATGTTGTGGGTCAAGTCTAGGGCTCTCCTCCGGCAAGCAGCACACAGCCAACTGAGACCTATCCAGAGCCATGCTCCTGCCACTGTTTTTGACCCTTCTTTCCTGACTGTTCCTTCAGTGGGTAGCACTGGTGAACCTTAGGTTTTGGGCCATCCTAGCAATGGAAGCAGGTTCTAGCAGGAGCCACACTGCAGTCTGTATTGACAGGCACTTGTGCTTGTTGACTCTGCTGTCAAGACCTTCTAGAATGTTCCTCCTGGAATCCTAGTGTCCCACGGTTTTGTTTAGTCTAGCAAGAGGCTATGCCAAGTGATGACCCAGAGTGAGCATCATGAATTAAAAAGAGCTGTCTGAGCTGACACTAAGGCATCCTTTCACCACAGCCACTGGCAGTTGCTGGACACCTGGTGCCCCTGTCCTGGGAGGAGCAGCCCAAGGGGACAGTGAGATACGCAGTCATTAGTTCCTGGCGTGATGGGTGAACCTGCTCCCCCAGGTCTTGTTTCCTCCCCACTTTGCTCTGGCCTCTGTTTCCCCTCTTGACAATGGCTCAGCCAAAGTAAGTGCTCATGGCCTGCTTGGCAGCAGACAGGACAAGCCCTGGGCTCTGGGGAGGCTGTAGTAAGCACATAAGCAAAGCCACAGTGATCGAGAGGAGTAACGTGGCTCGGGTAACGTGGCTCGGTGATGACAGAGGGAGCCTGGTTTTGGCTTCTGCATCAGGAGCATCCAGGACAGCGATAGAAAGGAGAAAGCCAAGCAGGGCACTGGGGTGGTACACACCTTTAATCCCAGTACTCAGGAGGCAGGTGGAGCTCTGTGAGTTCAAGGCCAGCCAGGTCTACATAGCAAGTTCCAGGACAGCCAGGGCTACATAAGGAGACTCTGTCTCAAAAACAAAAATCAAGTACACAGATGCATGCTATGAATTAGTTTGTAGATGCTGAATGAATGATTCCACACCATCACACGATGACAGCTAGGCATGTGGCCAGTGTGAGAAGAGAGAGGCGCCCCTGCTGCAGTGTCCCCCCTCAGAAGAGGTGCCCTCTGGATTCCAGGCACTTCAGCTTCTTTTTCCCTCTACCCCCTTCCCCCTTCTCCCCCCCTCCTTTTCTCCCTCTCTCCCTCCCCCACAGCTGACATCTCCTAGTTCTGTCACATGTGTTTCTAGATGGAGAGATGGCAGCAGCCACCCCCAGATCCCAGCCTGGCTGTATGTCACCCTGGAGGCCTGTCCTCCTCAGCCTCAGGGAAGCTGCTGCCCCATAGGAGGCCAGTCAGAACTGCAGGCCTGCAGTGCAAAGGCTGGAGAAGAGGGTGTCCAAATGATGGCTTAATGTAGACCCTGTTCCCAGGACCCAGAAAGCCCATAGAGGCTCAGAGCAGCTGAGCACACACACACACACACACACACACACACACACACACACAGTGTAGATTCTTGTCCCTTAGCCTCTGCTGTGGTCCTCGAGAGGAATCCAGTTTTCACTCCAGTGGATCCTGTCATGTTTAGAAGCTGAAAACAATTACTCACTGAGACTTGCAGGAGGGCAAAACCTGCTTTAGAGATGGGTATATGGGTTAACACCTGTTTTAAGGCCAGTGGAACTGTCAGATAGCCAGTGGGAACTCCATGCAGCCTCTATGTGTCATCTACAGACTGGGTTAGAAACGCTCATGGAAGAAACGCATATGTTCTAGAACTCTGTCCCACTCAATGCAGCTCAACCTCATAACTTCTGAGGCAAGGCTGTCTTTGTAGATGACACATAGAGGCTGCATAGAGTTCCCACTGGCTGTCTGACACACGCATGCGCACACTCATGTACATGCGTGCGCGCGCACACACACACACACATTCAACACACACACACACACACACACACACACACACACACACACACACACAGCTCTACACCTGTTGGGGATGTATCAAGGCGCAGAGCAGTGTGGGGTGGTGAGGTTCCAGAAGAGGCACCTCAGAGGGCACCCACAGGCACTCGGTGCTGGAGACCAGTGAAGCTGTCCGTGTCTCAGCAGAAGTGGATGTAACAGTGGATGAGGGCTGAGAGCGCCAAGGGGTTTGTGTGTCAGGTCCTCCAAGTCACGTGGTTGTGCTCTGAGGTCATCGGGCAGGACAGATGTACAGGGAGGGAGAACTCTAGCCAAAGGTGGAGAATGACCTTGGGCAGGTCAAAGGGGCTAAGACCTTCTAGAAAGGGATCAAGTGAGAGCCGGGGCTGTGCCGGTCTTTGAGGAGGGCACCAGGGTCATGCCCTTGCCTGGATCCCCTCCCTCCCTGCCAGGTACACCTGATGAAACCAGATGTGGTCCCCAAGGCATGCTGTGCACCCACCAAACTGAGCGCCACCTCCGTGCTCTACTATGACAGCAGCAACAACGTCATACTGCGCAAGCACCGCAACATGGTGGTCAAGGCCTGTGGCTGCCACTGAGGCCCTGCTCAGCAGCCTGCTTCTGCTATGGTCCCCGTCGGGCCAGGCCCCTTTCCAGAGGCAGGAAACCCTCATATGCTAATCATAGCTCAGACAGGGGCAACGGGAGGCCCTTACTTCCCCTGGCTATTTCCTGCTAAAATTTTGGTCCTTTCCCAGCTCCTCTATCCCCTTCTTGGGGGGTTGTGGCCTATTCCCTCCCCTTCCCAGCACCCCCCACCCCAAGCACAGACTGAATGCACATGGCCTCCCAGAGCTGTGCTGACTGGCAGGCCTGGGATCAGCACTGCAGCCCATACCAGGGGAAGACTGGTCCTTGGCTATCCCCCGCCAAGAATGGCCCATTTGGGATGGTCTAAGGTGGCCCTGGAGTCTGAACCTGGCTGATCTGGACTCTGCACCAATTCCTGCCCACTGCAGTGGGGAAATGTCTAGGTGTAACACACACACACACACACACACACACACACACACACACACACACACACACACGCTTAGATCAGTGCATTGCTACCCTCCTCTCAAGCTTGTCAGAAAAAGAATAGTCAGATGCAAGTGTGGTCGTGCATGCCATTAATCCCAGCGCTAGAGAGGGAGAGACGGAATCTCTGTGAGTTCGAGGCCATATAGGGAAACCCTGTCTCAAAACAAAGAAAAGAAAGAGAGCCATCTGGCTGGGCTTCATGGATTTCAGGAAAAGTGAGAGGGATTTTTCATGGCATGCGCCCCGGTCGGGCCTGCCCTTCTGACTAGAAGCAAAAGACCCTGGGAACTTGTAGTTCCCTCTACCACCATTACCATGCTGACCAGTTTGGGGATGGGTACTGAGACAAAGTGAACTCTTAGCAGAAGCAAGAACACACTGAAGCGGCTGGTCCAGGTTGGCTTACAGAAGATGCCACTGTTTCGTCTACTAACTGATGGCCTGCACCAGTGACCTCTCAGTCTCATGCTGCTCCTGGACACCCTCAGCACAGAGCTGGCCGCCACCAGCCACTTAGAGGAAAGGACCTGGCTTCTCTCTTCCTCCAGGAAGAATCATCCACCCAGGACACCCATGGCCCTCCAGCCAGGCATGGGGCAAAGAGGAGGAGCGCCAGCGTTTGCTTATGTCTGGGAACTAAGAACAGGCTGGTCACCAAGTTGGCGTCACCCCGGGGGCCCAGCAGCCCCATCCTGTTTCTGGGACCTGTGAGTCAAAGAAAAGGTCCCTGTCCCAGGGGACTGACAGGTGGTAATTAGGCTGAGTTGGGTGGGGAGGCTCGGAAACCACTGTTCTCCTTGGAGCAGCCGCTGGGAGCTGGAGTGTTTATTTGATTTCTGACTTGCTAAGCCTGTAATTTACCTGCGGGAACAGAGTCCAGCTGCCCAAACTGTGTCATTAAGAGCAGGTCGTGGGCCCATCCCCATCTAGAGACACACCCAGCGGAGGTGGACCCACCCAGGTGCCTGGGGATGCATTCTATGGGGTTCACACTCTGTACCCCTGAATGGGCCTCAGGGAGCGTGGGACTAGCCACCAGAGCGAGGCTAGAGGGAGTGAGACCATGCTCCAGGACGGCAGCCTGTCACCTAGGACCTGGGAGGGTTTCCTGTGTGAGGCCGAAGGAGGGGGCCCTTCCATGTATATGAAGAATGGGTCCAGACTATCTGCAAGGTGGCCAGTTCATCCAGAGCTTCAGGCTTCTGGGGGCTGGGAGATGGTTCAGCAGTTAAGAGCACTGACTGCTCTCACAGAGGACCAGGATTCAATTCACAGTACCCACATGGCAGCTCACAACCATCTGTAACTCCAGTTCCAAGGGATCCAATGCCCCCTTCTGACTTCCAGTGGCTCCTGCATGTATGTGGTGCTCAGACATGCATGCAGGCAAACCACTCATATTCATAAAAATAAAAGTAAATAAATCTTAAAAAGAGAGAGAGGGAGAGAGAGTACTTCAGGCTTTGAACTAAGCAAGGCTGGCAGGGATTGCGTAAGTCCTTAGCCTGAGGATCAGGACACTGCCTTGCTTAGTGTCTGGACAAATGGCTTTCTTACCCAAGCTTAACTCTCTTCTGGCAAGAAGCTGGCTTTCTGTTATTGTAACAAAATGCCAGAGACAATCAATTTTAAGCAGGAAAAGGTGTATCTTGACTCACAGCTTCTTCAGAGGTCTGTGGTGAGTTGGCCCCACAGCTTTTGGTTGGTGGTGAGGCAACAAATTGTGGCAAAGAGCAAGGCAGGACAAAGCCACTCATCTCATGGTGGACAGGAAGCTGAAGAAAGGGAAAAAAACCCCAGACTCTCCATCAATGACGCATGCCCCATGGCCAGAAAACCTCCTCCTTAGCTGTAGCTGCCGAGCCTGGCATTGAGCCTCAAGACCTGTTGGGAACATCCCAGATCTAAACTGGAGCCATGGTTTTCATTCCAAAGGTCCTTCCTGCCAGGGGATCTGCCAGCCTCCCTGGCCATCTTCTCTCAAAGGCTTGGCCACGGGACTCACAACTTTATCTGACAAATCTCTTATCTTGTCAGTGCCAGGATCTAGCCTGGCTTGTCAGGGACACCCGTGTGTGTGAAATGAACATTTGGAAGATGCAGCCTCCGTACTGTCCCAATGCAGAGCAGGAGCACGGGGCACTGTGTGACTTCCTGCCACAACACATCGAACCCTGGGCAGTCACAGCACCAGTAGCCAACCAGGCAGTCCTGGGTGACACCAAATGGAAAGGTCTTAGAGAAGAGAGATACAAAGCGCTTGGGGTGTCAACATTGTCCCAAAGACCATCCGGTTTAGTGGTGGCCTCAGACCACCCAGGTTACACATTAGAAGCGAAAATGACCTTCACTGAAGCCCAAGCAAGGGCAATGAGAAAACACAGGGCACAAAGGCAGGGCTGACTGTGGGGCCATTCTGTGTGGGGGACAGACCCTCATGACATGGTCACGGCTGCCTCCCAGCACATCTGGATGCCGGCTGGGTACAGTGCTGTTCCTGGGTCTTGATGCAACAAAGCAGGAGGTGCGCAGTGGAGAAACTCCCTGCAGTTGACAGGAAGAGGGGCAGAGGGCACAGGTTTGGAGTGGAGCGAGAGCTGCCACTGTCAAGTCCTGGCCTGGCTCTGGCTCTGACCCCTGCCCAGCCCTCAGCACTAACAGGCCCTGTGGGTGCTGGGTTAGACCTGCCCTTGTGAGCCCCTCACCCAGGGCTCAGATGTGCTCACAGAGCCCTCAGCACCTGACCTGCGGGGTTCATGTAGACAGTCTCTCTCTCTCCCCCTGTCTCTTAGAGGCAGGGTTTCCAGCTCTGTAGACCAGGCTGCCCTCCAACTCACAGAGATCCTCCTGCCTCTGCCTCCCGAGCGCTGGGATAAATGTGTGCCCCACCACTGCCTGGCTGATAGTATCTTATTTTAAATGGACTTGACGGTGTGGCCCAGGCCACCCTTCCTAGCAATGACATAATCTTCTAGAATGTGCTCTGCTGTTGCTGTATTGACAACAAAGTTATGCTTACCCCAAAACATCTCAGAGTGAGGGGTGGCCCTGCACCTTGCCCACCTGTGAGAAGGCCCAAGCTTAGCCCTGGGGTCTCTGGGGTGAAGAGATGGCAGGTGTGGCTCTCCTGTGTCCTGCTAGTGTTTGAGTGTCCACTCTGTCCTCATGGGTGAAGGAACTTTGAAAGTTGCCTTCTTACTGAGAGGGGAAGCTTGAACAAACAGTTGACCTTTAAAAAAAGTTCTTTATTTAGGAAGCTTACATAGAGGATGTTTCTTAATTTGTTTTTAAATTTCAGACTTAAAGAATAGACTACAAATCCCATAATTCCACTGTCTGAATAATCAGGGTTAATAATCTGCGCCCTCCCCACCTCCCGGGTCTCTTCTTGGAACCTATTACATTTGTCTGCCCAGGATTTGTGAGTAACTTACAAAGTTAGAGCTGTACTGTACACTGCTGGTGAACTGATTTATTCAATATATGGTTGACTTCGAAATTTTATGATACTATTTTTGAAAATAAATGTGAAACCGTCTAGGCTTGGATTTCTGCCTCCTCAATACAGGACAGGCTTCTCAGCAGGCAGGAGCCTCCCCTCTTAGGTTCAGGAGACCTCAGTACAAGGCCACATGTGGGTCAATGAAATAACCTTGAAGAAGCCACCCAGTGACCCCGCCCCTTGTCCCACTTCTCAGGGATAATCGGGAAGCCCGGAGGCCAAGCCCTCACTACCTCCACACTGTTTTTGTCCTTGTTTCACAGAGGTATGCAAACTTTTCTCCTGGAGGCCTCTGTCCAGCCTGCTCTCCCTGGCCATGTGCCAGCCTGGAATCAGCCACGGACGGCTGAGCCCTTCATTATCTTTTCTCTTGAACCTCACACTAACCCTCAGAGCTGACTTTACCTGGATTCATAGCTGCCTGTCCTGACCACTATAACTGACCTGCCCAAGAGAGACCTTTTTTTTTTCCCCTGTATTGCTTTGGAGCCTGTCCTGCTGTCCTGGAACTCTCTTTGTAGACCAGGCTGGCCCTGAACTCACAGAGATCTGCCTTCCTCTGCCTCCTGAGTGCTTGGATTAAAGGTGTATGCCACCAACACCTGGCTAGAGAGACCTGTTTTAAGGGGCCAGGTCAAGCTGGGAGGTGGTGGCACAGGCTCTTAATCCCAGCACTCCAGAAGCAGGTGGATCTTTGGAGTTCCAGAGAAAGTTCCAGGACAGCCAAGGCTACACAGAGAAACCCTGCCTCAAGTAAATAAATAAACAACAACAAACCACCCCCAAACAAGAGCCAGTCCTTGCTGTTCTCTCAATCAATGAATATGGCCCCAGTCAACCTAATGTGTGAAAGCCCAGTGTGCCAGCCTGGGCAGAGGACTTCCTTATCCCCTCTGGGTTTATCCTGTGACCCCAAATGAAAATGCATCCTAGAGCAACAGCTCCACCCACAGGTTCTTGATTTCAAAAGGGACACAGGTGGCAGCTGAAGCCGATAGGGCGGGGTTCCCTGGTGACTGGTAGCACTCAGCCCCACGTAGGGAGTGAGGCCAGTCTACCATAGGCTGTCATTTCCAGGCA